ATAAATAAATAAATATTGATAATCATGTCTGCTCAAAAGGGAGCCTCCCTGTGTTCAGTAGATCTTAACTCCAAAGGAAGTGTGAGTGTAAAGATTACAAGACCATCAAGGCTGAAAAGATAACAGATTAGGAAAGGGTCAGGTCTTGACTAGAGAGAAGTAACACATAAAAAGACAAGAAGTTACTTCCTGTGTTTCACATCTCCTAGACGGCTCAAGAGAGAAAAAGAAGAGCTTGGCAATCCTGATGAACAAACACAAATATATCGCTATCCAGAGCAAGTAATTCTGTTCTCCTCCTGCCTGGATTAAGTTTCAGTTTGGCTGCTTTCTAAAAATATAACAACAAAGAAAGGATGGGGAGAAAAGAAAATCTAAATCTCTGTGGCTAATAGCAGCCCAGATACATTTTCCTTTAAGAACTAGTAGAGAATGCTCCAGCACAAATTTTGGTAGGTCTCAAAAACAGGGAGTCCTATTAATGCAATTTTCAGAAATGTAGCCATGTTAGTCTGTGCAAGCATCTCAACAAGAAACACAAAAGAAAACCAAAAGCCCAAAATGGCATTGTGGGACTTCAAAGACCAACTGCTATATTTTAATGTAAGCTTTTGTGAAGCATTGTCCACTTCTTCAGACATATGAGTCAGATGCCAAGAATGTTCCTCTCGGTGGAATTATTTTGGCGCTCAGGTGCTTCAGGTTCTTAGTTGATCTTGGATTGTGGGAAAATGCAGAAGAGGAAGCAGCCTCTGAAATACCATGTGTTGCAGCATTTTGAAGTAGCAGCTACAGGCAGCACCACTTGAGACAGAGTGCAAGCTATGTTGCAAGATAGTGTGGTCTGACTGATTTTATGTCCTTCATTTCTGTTTTGCTAATTAAAACATTAAATTAGGCAAATAGTAATTAGAGCAGTAGCAATTCTGGTCTGTTTTCACCATCCCTTTTCTCAGTGATAGTCTTTCAGAGATGCTTTGTAGCTTCTGGTGGTTCTAAAAGAGCACCAGAAGGGGATGGGGCAGAGTGGTGAAGTCCACGAATCATTGCTCGCATGAGCTGTCCAGAGTTCTTGTTAGTGTCACACTGCTCTGCTGTGAAGCAGCTGTGTGTGGGATGAAGCATGTTATGTGCTATACTTGAAATTTAGAATCCTACCCTTTCGTTTATACTCTTCTCTTGGACGAGTTACTACTTGATTTCATGCAAGCAGTTTGCCAAATGGATTGCTCCATCTGCCCTGTGGTGCAGAGGTGAATGTAATATTCTCATTGGATGACAAGTATGTGTGACACAGAGAGAGGTCTGTTGAATTTCGTCCTTTTTTTGCAGGTCTTGACAAGCTACTATAATGGTATTCCTAAAGTGAGAAAATATTCCATAAGCGGGTGGTGAATTTTGCCACTGTTTATAGTTTCAGGATCACCTCATGCTGCTATAGCAACTGAACATCCAGCTCTTTTTTTCTTTCTTCCAGGTCTACCAGTAACATTCTGCTGTCTATGTTCATGTGAAAGCAGCAACATGATATGCACATAGACGTAGTTCACGCATAGTTTTACACTTCTCATACAAGCTGATAGCCCAAACCTCGGACTTCTGCGTTCTTCTCTATTCCTCCCATGTGATATGCTTTCTTCAGTTAAACAAAGATTAGCCAGTTAACACAATTAAATAATCTCTGGTTCAGACATAATGGCAAGCAGCTTTTTAATGACATAATGGAATGGGCTTTCATGTACAGTGGGGTCTTGACTTAAGAACGGCTTGAGTTAAGAACATTTTGACTTAAGAACCACTCTCATAGGAAAATATTGACTTGACTTACATACTTAGATTTGAGTTAAGAACTGAAAAAAACCACGTGGGAGGCAGGAAAAGTGCAAAATTTGAACTTTCAGTTAACTGTTGGCCAGTGAAAAGGGTGCCTGTCTGCTTCCTCACTTCTCCCAGCGTTTAGAGAGTGGATTGGGAGAC